GGACTGCTCCTGATGCTGCCAGCAGGCGGCAAGGCGCAGCGAGCGCGCAGCAGAGAGTGGGTCGCGTGCAGGTGCTGAGCGAGGGGTTCTGGGGCACTGCAGGGGGAGAAGGCAGCTCTGCAGCCATGTGCATGTCTGCAGCTGGCAGGCGGGGGGTCGGGCGACGAGGACGGACATGTCGCGAGGGGCCCCGAGGCCGAGCCCCACCCGGCACAATATGAAATAAGGAGATAAGGGCCGCTCTTCGAATTCCTGTACGCTCTGTAGCTGTACCCTGTACGCCCGGGGAAGGCACAGTAATCCGGAACGTGTTGGGCGCCCCATTCCGTTTGGCGGCTAGGTCGGCTCAGGGCCCCGTCCACTTCCCTCCCACTTGGCGCGTGAAGATGAAGAGATTCCCCCCAAAAAGAAAGAAAGAAAACGGACAACCCAAGGGAGGGATGGGAGGACGGCACGCCGCCACCACACAGGGATTTTAAGAAGAGGGGTGTGGTGCGCTAGCCGTCGCCCACCCTTGGGCGTCCGCCTCTTCCTATGATCCTATCTCTCTTCGCAGTCTCTCTCCGATTCTCGCTAGGGGAGATTCCCCCCAAAAAGAAAGAAAACGGACAACCCAAGGGAGGGATGGGAGGACGGCACGCCGCCACCACACAGGGATTTTAAGAAGAGGGGTGTGGTGCGCTAGCCGTCGCCCACCCTTGGTTGGGCGTCCGCCTCTTCCTATGATCCTATCTCTCTTCGCAGTCTCTCTCCGATTCTCGCTAAGGGAGATTCCCCCAAAGAAAGAAAGAAAACGGACAACCCAAGGGAGGGATGGGAGGACGGCACGCCGCCACCACACAGGGATTTTAAGAAGAGGGGTGTGGTGCGCTAGCCGTCGCCCACCCTTGGGCGTCCGCCTCTTCCTATGATCCTATCTCTCTTCGCAGTCTCTCTCCGATTCTCGCTAGGGGAGATTCCCCCCAAAGAAAGAAAGAAAACGGACAACCCAAGGGAGGGATGGGAGGACGGCACGCCGCCACCACACAGGGATTTTAAGAAGAGGGGTGTGGTGCGCTAGCCGTCGCCCACCCTTGGGCGTCCGCCTCTTCCTATGATCCTATCTCTCTTCGCAGTCTCTCTCCGATTCTCGCTAGGGGAGATTCCCCCCAAAGAAAGAAAGAAAACGGACAACCCAAGGGAGGGATGGGAGGACGGCACGCCGCCACCACACAGGGAGTTCGTGATTTTTTTCTGCGCGCCCCTTTCGAACAGTATGCCGGCCGCCGCTGCTGAGCACAAGCGGAAACTGGAGACGCTGCTGGAGCTGCGCGAGACCCGGCCCGAGTCGGAGGCCAAGCGCCTCGCCGCCTCGCTGCAGGAGCTGCAGGCTTGCTCCGACACTCTCATCCAATCGCAGCGTGCCGAGATTGAGTCCCTGCGCGAGGCGGCGGCGGCGGCCGCCGCCTCCGCGCCAGAGTTGGCGGCGGCAAGCGGCGGCGGCGCCGAGGCGGAGCGGCTGGCGGCGGAGAACGCGCAGCTGCGTGCGCAGCTCGAGGCGCTCGAGCACACGACCGCCATCTACATGACCCTGACTGGCGTCACGGTGCGGCTCGAGGCCGGCGGCCAGACGGCGACGTGCGAGTGCCGCGGAGAGGAGCGGACGCACGCGTTCACGGTGGACACACAGCCCGAGGACGGCGACGAGGGCGAGATCGGATACGCGCCTGCGCCCGGAGCCGTCGGCTGTCCAGGCACACCTCTTACATACGCACATGCATGCACATGCACATGCATACATGCACAACATGCACATGCACATGCACATGCACATGGCATGCAACATGTGCATGCACATGTGCTTGCACATGTTGTAACGTTTGCACAGGTGGCCACTCTCTGAGACCTGAGCGGAGCCGTCTCTTTTGTGTAGGCCTTCCCGACTACCTGCTTGACGAGCTCATTTTCGAGCGGGAGCAGGCGCCCGCCCTCCTCGTCAAGGTGATGGAGGCGGTCGGCGGCGGCAAGGCGCCGCACACGCCGCGCTCCTCCCGCCGCTCGTCCATCATGTCGAATGCGTGAGGTGGGGTCTGTGTGGAGGCGCCGGTGCTGTCGGAGGTGCGCGCGGTCCTGTCTCAGACGCTTGCTTGAGGCAATCAGGGAAGGAAGTTGGGCGAGAGAGCTGCAGACTTGTCGGACAGGTCAAGCTAGGGCGGCCGCGAGCTAGCTAGGCCGCGAGAGCCCGCGAAGGCATACCGCGCCGCCAGGCACTCTTGATTCCACTTGGACGCGGAAACACCTTCCCGCGTCTAGTCCGATGTGACGTTTGTGTTAGACAATAGAGTTCAAGCGACGAATATCCGCCCTCTCGTTGTATCATTTACAGATTACACGCCGATGTCGGGCGGGGGGCGCACACAGCGTGTGGGGGCTGGGGGGGGGGTTGGGGCATGGGGGGGGGGGCATGCCGCATGGCTGCCCGGGCCGCGGCTTGCGCGTTGCGCGCAGGGCGATGGCAACCGATGCCCGATGGAGCGCTTGTGGCGGGAGCGGCCGCACACTGCTCGGTACCCCCCCTGCACATCTAAAGCCATGGGCGACCACCCGCCCCCCCACCGCCCAAGCCCCAGCAGCAGAGCTCTGCCGCTCTGGGGTGGTGCAGTGTGCAAACTTTACCGGTATGAGAGACTGGTATTTGGCGATATTTTGATTAGTTTTGGAGTGGTATG